AAAAATTAATATTTTGTTGAAAAAGGTAGTGGCTAAAGACTCCGACGCTATAATGTGTATGTACGCAGAATAATCTACAGAACAAAATTTGTAATAAGACATAGTACTGATAAAAGTAAATGAAATATTTACAGGTAACATAGGTTTGTAAGAATTCTTATTTTTTTTGTTTTAAATCAACCTGTAGACTTAAAAAAACTTATAACTAAACTACATTAAGTTTAATTAATAATAGTTTTATTCGTACATTTAAACTCAAATCAAGAATTATTTTTAATTCTAATGTATTAGAATTCTAATGTATTAGTACTTATTTGAATATAAATTGTCACATAGTGTTTCTTAAAAAATGCCCAATAATTATACATAACGCTATTTCTTATCAAAAATTGAGTTGAAAAATTCTGAATCAGTACGTCAGTGAGCGTACGCTCGGTTAAAGAATGATGCTAATTGAATTGACTTTAGTCAATAATTATTGTCGTATAGGTTATGCATTAGAATTATGCATTATAGAAAAAAAAATGGTTCAGATTTCTTCGACTCAATTTTTGACAAAAAATAGCGCTATGTAATTAATGGGCGCTCTTTCAGAAACACTCTGTATATAAAAGTTAAAAGCTAAAATTATGTAGCAAAGAAAAAATATACTAATTAAATAAGAAAAATATGTTTATCATATATTCTATGAATTTAGGACTGCAGTATTACATGCAATATTACACTCCAATATTTGCAAATGTAAGTTCCTTATCTGTCTTAAACGGTAACAAAGAATGATGAGTACTGTCTTCAGGTAATTGACTTTTCTCAATCAATTCCATTATCATATTTAAATTCTCTTGTGGTAGATCTCGAAATTCTTTAGTATTTCTAATCTCTTTTATGTAAAATTTAATAAAAGTTGCCGAATGTGTTTTTAAATATTTGGCATTAGACAACAACGCAAGCTGTATAAGTTCCACAGCATTTTTAATCGTAATATAGCGTAGCAAATAATGTTCACACTTTAATTTTAAAGTCTGTACATCGTATTTATCAGCTGCTGTTAACAACTTTTTAAGCATCCCATAATTACTCTGATCAATGGAGTCAGTTGTAATATATAATAAAACCTGTTTAAAAGATTCTATCTCATTATCCGTTACTAATTCATTTGTCATATCTTTTTCTTTTTCTTTATGTGTATGACACATATACTTAAAATAACTACTGTTGGTGTCGCACAACAATTTTTTGGATACAACATACTGTTCTTCACCTATTATAAATTTGATTGATTTCTTATTAAATAACTGGAAATCAAAAGTTGAGTTTTCAGAAAGTTTTATCTCTTTAAATACCGTTGGGGGTGGTTTGAATTGTAAATTCATGTGTATAGTGTTACTTATCAGTTGATGAAAACGTTCAATCTTGCAATGTATTATAAACGCCTCTGTAGAAATGCACGAATAGTCGGAAACTTCAATTAACAATGCCATATCCGATATACGACACGTAATCGATCTTGACGCTAAGACTGTTTCAGGCGGATGTGTTATAGTAGTAGTACATGAACCGCTAAATGCTGTATTAGTACGTATTGAAATTTGTATTGCACATAGCAAATATTGACGTGAAATATTCATTTGAATCTTGTATCGGTTGTTTTCTCCAAATGGTGGAGAATTTAATGTATCTACGATTGCAGCGAGACGCCCAAATTGATCAATTTCCCATGTATAGTCAGACGTAGTCACTTCAAATCGTGTTTGAGAATGGCTCTTGGTATACGAAGGTAAAAATGGTGAAGATACTGTCTGCTCCTTTTTCGGGACAATCTCATTGTCAGTATTCTCATTTAGACCTCGACCACATCTGGAAATAATTAACTTATTATAAATGATGAAATGTGATCAACATCAAAATATCCTGAACGTCGCTATGCTTTTTATAACAACTAGACATCACAGACGCGCGCTTCGCGCGCGCTATTTAGCTTTAATATTACACACAACTGTCAAAATATGCTATGACAGCCGCTCACGAAGTTAGCGCAGCAACAGAATCAATCAGCATCGCGGAAAAGAGCCAACAAAGCAATTCGAGATTTTCGAGAAGACTTCGAGAGATGCGAGTATCGATTTAACATGCCTTTTTTTAGAAAGGAAATAGATTAAATTTCAAACAAATATTACTTCAAATCGTGCTTTCTAATAGCTCCGGTAAACGAAGATAAATATGGTGAAGATACTTTCTGTTCCATTTTCGTCTCAGTATGGGTATTTTTATCTTCTTCAGATCTCCACAACTGGAAATAATTAACTTACTTATGAATAATGAAAATGATCAACATCAAAATGTCCTGAGAAAGTCTCTATACTTTTTATAATAAAATAGATTAAATTTCAAACAAATATTTTAACATGTAATAACGCTTATACATCATGTATAGATGTATAAATAAGAGTCACTTGAAATTAGATTTAACTTGAAATACGTAGAAATTTTTGGGACTTTAATATATCTTTCTTTAAATAAAAATAACATTTTTTATGTTAGACAACCACAAAAAAAAATTGAATAAGTAAATAGCCATTTTACGTCAAATTTCAAGAATGATTACTAAACTGCTTTCTTGCTTAAGTCTTACACGATCTATAATTCCCGTTAATTTAAGAATAAATTTTTATGTATAATTTTACACTTCATGCATTTTGATGTATACATATATATGTATAAGTTTAATTCTTAAAATGCTTTTCATATTACATATAAATATAGGATTCTATCTTAAATTCTGATAAAAATAATGGATACATGTGAAGTAGACTCTTTGGATTAATAATTTTTAATTGTATTGAAATTACACATGCTAGTAGAAAGTGGATTTGATACGTGTATGAATTTATGCATTTTCTTTGCTATGTAGAATGCATGGAATTGTCGCTTTAGGAAATGTCATAATTAATTTGTTATATATCAATGTTTTATGTGTTTCCTAACGTTCTAATAACACGTAGTCAACGAAGTTGAAAAAAACTATTAAGAACTTACTTGATTTGCCTCGATAAATAATGGCCTTACTTGATTTGCTTCGCCAAATAATGGTATTTGCTTATTCGTATTAAATGCCATATTTGCTTATGCGTATTTGCTTTTCCGCTGAATCTTGATCAGTCACACTTAAGATCTTGCGTTTTTCTAAGGATATCCTTCGGTAATATTCCAACACCGTCCAGATAATGGCATTTATTAGACTAACGCGTGTATGTAGTACAAACGTGGCAACTGATTTCGTTTATTTCCTTTTGTCAAATCAAGTTTTTAGGCTGCTGCGAATGTAACATCGAGATAGAGAACTTCCGTTTCCGGTGGGCTAGGCGTGAGAAAGCGATTTTTGTAGTGCGAAAGCGAAGTGTGATTGTGAGAAGTGGCGTGAGGGAGAGAGAGTGGCTTGCGGGGAGGGGAGAGAGAGAGAGTGGAAGGAAGAGTGTGTGAGTGGAGGAACCATAGACAGAGGGGAGATAGAGGTAGGAAAGGTGGAGTAGTATTCGAAGATTGAAGTAGTTAATTTGGACGCAATCATCCGAGGATTAACTGACTGATTCGGGAATGATGCGATTACGGGACGCATCGTTATACATTGTAATTTTGTTTTTCGTACCTTATAATTAATTTTTTGCTTTTATATGACATAACTCTTTATAGAACGGTTATAGAACTATAGATCTCGCAAAATCTGATAAGATATAGCGGCGGAACTCGTGTAGGACAAAGTGAGACACTATTATAGGTTCATGCAGCGTCTCACTTTGTCCT